TCGAAGGAGTAGTGATAACAAGGTTTTACATAAAAGGGGCAAGAACTCCGTAAGGGGTCATAGGTCATATACGTTGGGTTGTTTTTCGAAATAACTTTTGATGTCGAGTATCATGAAATAAAAGGTTTTTCGATAAGTCTTTCGGATCAAAAGTCCGTAGCGGAAAAATAATAATAATAATAATAAACAGAAGCATTTCAAGAGGTCTTTCCACAGAAAGGTGGAAAGACCTAATAATAAACATAAGCAAATCAATAGGTCTTTCCACAGAAAGGTGGAAAGACCTAAAAAAAAAAAAGATAAGGATTTCGTTATATATACATAGAAGATTGTCATAGAAACAAAACAAATCTTCATAAAAAGGAAAATAAACAGTATCATTATACCACATTTTAATATCATATACTAAATATTAAAAAAAAATCTGAACAATTAACGGAAAAGAAAATATAAGGTAGAATATGTGAATAGTTGTGTGTGTATTTCTTACTCCTCTCAAAAAAAGCTTGAATTGCTGAAGTCCGACAGGTAAAAGCCATGATTTATCATTATTGATTTCTGTGCATGAGTCCCATGATTTCCTGTATTCTCATCAATGTAGCAGTTTGTATGTTTTGTGATGCATGTCTGAGAGATAGTTGGTAGGAGTACAGAGCAGCTTGATGGTTCCCTGTAACCTGTTGACAGATCCCTAGAATCTCCCAGGATATGTCTCTTTCATGTACATCTATATACTCCCCTGATCATGTTGGACCAGGTCCTGTAGGTCTTTAAGAGCTGTTTGTGCTCTCACTGGGTCTACATGTCTGTAACACAAGACCTCAAACATGTGTAACGCAACATAGAGTGGGATACATAATAAAACGTATAAACGCTGTGACATAGACTGTTGTTCTGGGACTAATTCATTTATGTAAAAGACTTGATTGTAAATAAAGAAATCGCACGCCACAGCATGTCTCATCTTTGTAGACCAGGATTGCCCCCCTAAGGACCCACTTAACATGTACACCACTGCACCCATATCTACATTTGGGACATACATTACATATGGCTGTGCTAACTTGACCTTTGTCATTTCTATAATTGATAGGGCATCTTTATATCTAAGTGCCTTATAGTAAAACATTGCAATGTATAACATGTCAGAAATACACCCAAACTTAACTGTGAATTTCAGCATATAACTGGATATTTTGTAAGCCCGATATACATGTTTGTTTTCAACTGAGCTAGTATTTACTCTGAGTGGTTCACAAACACTTGACAGGTTGTATAACATAAATGCAGTTTTATGGAGTACAACTCCTGTTGATCTCCGAAACATGAGAACCTGGTACTGGGTCAGGGGTAAAATTATCAACTTTTCTACAGCACTGAAGTACAGGGTGTTTCATAAAACATGCAACCATTTACTTTCCTCGCCATATTGATATGCAAACAGGAACATATGAAAGTATTAAATAAAATTATGCTAAATGGGCTAAAGTTTTTATCAATATCAAAAAATTAGAAAAATAATTCGATTTTAATTAATTATGACGTTATATTTGATATCACTTAGAAAAGAGAGTTCAACATTTCAATGTCGATTTTAATAAAAAAAAAAACAACAACAAAAAAAAAAACAATCATCAGGAATTCCGATTCTGCTTAATCAGAGCATGTCACCAGTTCATTTGAGTATGGCAATGCATAAAAATAAGGTTTACAGAATGCAGAGAACTTACTTATAGCAATATAAAGTGAAAGTTGTAGAAATCCGTTAAATTTTATAGCTAAAAGAATAGTTAAAACTTGATTAAAGGAAAAGGGAAAAAATGAAAAACCAATTAGAACACATGAAAGCATTTCGAATGTTTATTAAGAGGCATTGTTCCAGAGACTCCAGTGAAATCCTGTTGTAAGATATGTGAGTTTGTGAACAAATTGTGTAAGTAAAGTGTAGATCAGATTCTGAAATACGTTTTGAATCTTAAACCTTGAACTTGTTAGAACAAATGTTAGCAGGACCATTCAGCTTTTTCAAATCCAATAAATTGGGCTCCACACTCACCTGACTTAACACCCCTTGACTTTTATTTGTGGGGATATTTAATGGACAAAGTGTTTAACACACACATACACCCCACTCAAAATTGTTTGAAAAATGAAACCTAATTCATTTCCAAGAGACTCTTTGCAAAAGTAATGAGAACTTTCTTGTATCTGACAGATTTCTTCTTTCAGCAAAAATGACGCCATTTAGAGCATAGTTTTTAACTAAGTGAAATTTTCTTTCTTTCTTTCTTTTGTAAATCATTATCTGTTTGCCGTATTAACTTTATTTTAATAAGAATAAATCTTGGAGTTGTAACTTTAAATTAGATATGTTGGTCCATAGTATTGGTCAAAACAGCAGTAAAATCTAATCAATCAAAATGGTTGCATGTTTTCTGAAACACCCTGTACATCATACATTTGTCTAGGTCTGTTGTTAATACTTTATTGCCACGCAGCTCTCTGAATAGATCTACTTCAAATAAAACCCTAGAGATCACCATGTGTTTATCTGTATCAACAGGTTGTCTGGGATTTTGAAGGACACTGATAAGACTAGATCTGATAGATGGACAATGAAGCAGTGATACTAAACCCTTCTCATACAATTCATGAAGCCTAATAAATAAATTCGTTTGTGCTTCACCATGGATATTACTTAGAAACATGTTGTTTTCTGGAATAAAGAAGTTTGGACATACCCCCTCATACACCCATTTAAGGATAAGTTTAAAACAGAACCAGAAACACTGAAGAAGATTTTGTGGATGCCAGTGAGGAATTGTGTTTTGTTGAATCGCCCAGAAAACTGCTGTCTTCATGTGATAGGAACAGAGCAATTTATCCTCATCACTTAATCCATCATTAATAGACTCTTTTAAAAGCAACTTAAGCAGCCCATAGGTTAAGAATTGGCAATGATTCATTGAATATACAAGTTTTTGTTCTGCCAAAGAGATGGAAATTCTCCATTCATTGTCTGCATGCTTTCCTAGTTTGTGTCCAATTGCTACAAAGTGGCATCCATTTCTAACAATGTCATCGACAAGATAAGACGGGGGCCATGAGTGACATCTGTCTATCCATTTGGAGGCAGGAGGGGGCCATAAATCACAGACAAAACATAGGGCAGCGTCATACTCTGTTTCCCCTTTAACACCACTAGCACACGGACCATGCTCCTTAGAATAAATTTTAACTGCTGAACATGTGATCTGTCTGTATTTAGAACTGGATACATAGAGTTTGTCGCTTATTCTCATGCATGCATTCTTTACACTTTCCTTTTGTGTTTGTGTCAGTAATTCAAGTAAAGCGAATCCTGGTGGACTATCAGAACAATCACAGAGGATCAGTACCTTTCTACTTAAGTCATAATTCTGAGCCTGAGCCAAGTCCCATATTACACGGTGGTCATCTGGCCAAAACATTGCGTCGATATCTGATCCCTGTAGCCTGAATCCTTCTCTTCGACTCCCACTAATCATCATCCTGTCTTCTTCTCTAGGTTTCATTACTTGATTTTTCATTATTTCCGTGAAGTCCGCCATGTCTCTCCTCATGATCACCGTCTGTGAGGACCCCACTTCATGACACAGTACCACAAACACAGACTCTGATAAATACTGTACACCCAAGTTCCTTACCAAATATCAAAATATATGTATAAATATGTTTTCATTTCATTATTAATTAGTCTAAATTATTTTGAATTATGTAATGTTTCCGGGCCAAAATCATACAGCTCAACATTATTGTAAAACATCTCACTTGTTACTAACATCTGACTTTCATAACAGTGAATTCTAGAATATAAAGAAACATTAAGTAATATTATATATAGATCTGTGTAAATACAAGTTTTTTTCTACTTACAGCTATTTGTGGGAAGTCATTTTTATTTCATATCATTCCTGTTTACTTTGACAACTATAATTAGAAGTGAAAAATCTCTATTGTACTTTCAATTTTAAAAATAAATATTTGCAATCAGGTAGTAATATCTGTAAAAAATATTAGATTTCTTGCACTTGTTTTATTTTTGTTTTTTATTGCCATGCGTACTGTATAATTATGACATAAAAAATAATTATGATGTTAAAAATAATGTAAGAGATGTGTACCGTATTGTTATGTGTAAGACTATATAGTTAAAATTAATCTACTGTAAATATCATACTATCAATAACATTTGGCTCACCTAAGCTGAAAGCTTAAGTAAGCTTTTCAGATCATCTTTTGTGTGTTGTCCGTCTGTCTGTCTGTCTATAAACTTTTCACATGCGTCTTCTTCTCAAAAACCAAAGTGCCAATTTTGACCAAACTTGCCACAAAGCATCTTTGAGTGAAGGGGATTCAATTTTGTCCCAATGCAGAGCCATCCCTAATTCAAGGGGGGAGATCATTTAGAAATAGTAAAAATTCAGCGGCATATTTTAAAAATCATTTTAAAAAAAAAATATCGCATCTTTTTACGAAAACTTAAGAGGTAGAGATTTATCAATTGTCGAATGAAGATAATATTTCATACTACAATTGTTTCTGTTTGCAATCGATGTCTTTTTCTTATCTCTGGATGCCTCAGAATTTTCCTGTATTCTTCCACTTAGAGATCCAACCTTTAATTAAAGTAAGTATAGTCCGTGGTTAACTTCATTTTCTGATAATACCGGTTTCAAATCAAGGAATTGATCTTTTCCAATATGGATATCTATAGTTAAATTTTCTGGCGTCTTTGGTAGGGTATCAGCAAATTGAAATTGTGCTGTACTTTTTTCAGAGATGTTAGGTGGTAATAGTCTTTTTTGTTATTTGAGGCATAACATTTGGGTCAATTTTCATGAAGTGTCCATCATTTAGTTTAATTCTTAAAGAGACTTTCGGTGTGTTCACTGTTCTTGACTTCTTTTCTCCAAATGTGTTTTGTGATATTTCTTCTGTTTGCTTCCTCTGCAAATTAATCTCGAAACCAATTCCTCTGTAACATATGTTCTCTGGGATACAGAGTTAATAAGAATTCTAAAATATTCAGCTCTTATACCTCTCAGATCTGATGCATCAATTCTTGAAGTCTGTATTACCACCATACTACTTGAGGAGAGTAGACTATTTTCTGGAACATTGTTAATTGTTTCTGTGTCATACATTTCTGATGTTTCAGCAAAATTTGAGGATTCTCTCGAAAGTAGCATCCTCCTATTGCAGAGACTTCGATGATGTTTCTTTATCTGATGGCAATGGACAGATGGTTTGTGAAGTTTCTATTTGGACAGTATCTATCGTACTTCTAACTTCAAACTATAGAATATTTTTGCGCAAATTTTAATAAGTTTCGAAGATTATATGTCTCTTATCTTATTCTGAATTTTTCATTAAGAGTGTTTTGAAAGAATTCTGGTATTGGTCGTGAGATTAGTAAATAATTGTCTCAGTATTATAGCCTGCAGGGCGATACATCTACTGCATCCCTAAACAATAGAATCATTTATTTTTTCTGTTTCATGAAACTACACAGTCACTCTCTTCACCACTTAAATTCGTAGAGTAGCATCTGACTGCGAAAAAAACCCATATTTGCTATTGTTTACATTCAACATCCATGCGATTAAAATGTTTCCGCCTATTTTAGGGTACCTTAAAGCTGAACACTTCTCATAATTAGGCACCGTCAAACGGGTATATAAACCGTTCGATTTCGTTATACCCGATTGCACACTAAAAACTCATGAACGACACGTAGTACTCCTTTGGTGGTCTTAGGATTTTTTTGCTTTTATTCATTTTAATGTGCATTTTCTGATTGTAAATAATGTACTGACGTGTATTTTTCATAATACTTTTGTCCTGTTTTGGAAAATATACGTAAAATTTGATCGTGACCGGTATTATCAGAAAAATTTCATCGTGACCGAGTATCATGGTGGTGTAAGATGTAGGTTCCAGCTGTCTTTGAGGGGCGAAGCTTCTCAGTAGTGTCTAGTTGGGAGGTAGGGATATCTTACAGGTCTTCGTCTTCAGGGATGTGTTGTCGTTGGGGCTGAGAGGTTACTTCTGTTGGAACACGGTAACACTCACTTGCTTTAATCTTGTACGAATTAGATCGTAATTGTTGACCGGAAAACTTTTTCAGATAGCAATACTCATCATTCACTGAGACTACGATATATCTGGGACGGGCTTTGGTCTTGTTTCTGTCTGAATATAAATACACTAGATCACCGACAGATGGGATGGAAAGAGGGCGTGGCCCTTTTGAGTTCGACTTAGACCATGCACTGCTGATGTGGTTTGAGTCCCGTTGAGCTTGTTTTTGGGCGATAATCTCACGGTTGTTCATGTGTGAACTAATTGCGTTGGGTATTCATTTCTCGTGCTGACAGGCCCTCACTACGGATACGGGAATTGAGTCTTGATACAGCAGTAGAAAGGAAGAGTTGTGAGACTAGGCCTCCTCCAGGCTCTTGCCGAAGTATTTCCTCCTCAAGTTCAGCAACAGCTTTTTCTGCTACTGGGTTCTTATTAGGGTTTTTAACTCGACCGATTTCAAGGTTGATGCGATAGTGATCTAAGAGGTCATCCTCGCGCAAGGCCATGAACTTGGAGCAGGGTCGACACGGATAATAGCCCTTGGCCCATCGAGAGGGTGGAGATCCATGCACAGCAGGAGCAGTGCTTCTCTTATCGTATGGGCTTTTTCATCGGCAACTAGACAAGCAGCTGTATAGGCGGTTACCGTTTCTCTTAAGACCAGGATGAGATGGTGGTTTTGCTTTATGACGTCAGCAACAAAGTTAATCCCAATGACATCAGGGGGAGGTTCAGATGACTGTTCAATGTAGCTATTTGGAAATTTTTTGAGTGAAGCGCAGGTATGGCAAGATTCACACACACAGTCGACTGATTGAGCCAAATCCAATGCATAGAAGTTGCGCTTTATGACCAACATCATTTGGTATTTCGTAGGGTGATCCAAACGGATGTGAAGGGCACTTACAAGGCCATCAAAGACACTGCGTGGGACTATGATGAGCTCAGTTAGTGGTTGTAGTGGATCAGACCTGCGTGTTACGAGTAAGCTATCTCTTGCAATCGTAACTATATTCAAATATTGCTTGACGTCTCGGATATTTGTGAGCTTTTTGGAGATCTAGTACCCTGTATTAAGTGTATTAAGTCTTAGGTCGGCTTGGATATTGATCCACGCTGACCTAGTTGTAAAAGGTACTTTGGTCCTTGGCTTTTGCCACACGCACGACTGAGTCCTTTTGTATAATGAAGTTGCATATTTGGCATGACGGATTTTCGCAGTCTGCTGCATTTCTGCTGGCAAAGTCAGATGGAATATTTGCGGAACCTGCAAGGTGTTGTAGGTTAACCTGGTAACGGCTAGCTGTGGAGAGGAAGGATGTCAGGAGAGGGCTTGAAGAGAACTCGCCGCGGCAAAGGTCTTGTATTACCTGTACGCATGGTTTGCTGTCTGTAAGGACGCATGTTTTGTTGGCTGACTGGATGATGTAAGGGCTGAAGTGTTTTATGGCCGCCGATATGCACAAAGCCTCGATTTCGCATGGGAGCCATGTCACTTGGTGCTTCCGAAACTTTGCGCTGAAGAATCCAGTCAGGTGAATTTTCTCTTTGCGCATCAAGTAAAGTGTTGCTCCAATTCCGCGCTTTCTTACAGAGCCATCTGTAATGATCCATAAATGGTTTAAGGTAGATTTCTTTGGAATCTTTCAGTTTTGTCTGGGCTTTGCAAAAGTTTTCTATCAACTCCTCAGACCACTTAAGTTTGTCTTTTGACTGAAGACCACTGATAGCATTCTCCAGTGGGGCGATGGCATGTGTACAACCAGGTAAGACACGGGAAAACATCTTGTACACCCCAATAAATGAGCGAAGACCATGGACAGAATCTGGCAGTTTGCATGTAGATAAAATAGACACCTTATGAGGGCTTGCTGAAAGACGGCCTTGTGTCCAAATCCATCCTAGTATTGTAGTGGAACGTGGGCAGATTATTGTCTTGGTTGCAGATAACTTCAGACCGTAGGCATTCAGAGCTCTCATTATGTCGACCCCGTGTTGTAGAAGTTCTTCAGGAGTGTTTCCGCCACAGTACAGGTCGTCAGCTAATTTTGACACATATCCAGCTTGTAGGTGATCGCCTAGGATTCTGCACATAAGCTCTTCTAGAGCAGTCTCTGATCCTGGCATCCCCATAGCACATCTGGTATAAACACGCACGCCTTTATATAGGGTGACAATGCTACAGTAGCGCATCGACTCTTTAGCCAGCGGAATCTGATAAAAGGCGCTAGTTAGATCTGTTACTATTAGATATTTCCACTGACTTATGGTGTGCAAAGTGGAATCAATATCTGGCATTAAGGATGGTTGAGGTTTCGAGAAACGTCCAACATCCTTAAAAGCAGTTACTAGTATGTGTTCTCCATTAGGCTTAGAAACGAGGAAAGAGGGGTTGAGGTATTCTGCAGTAATGTTTAACTCTTCTGCGAATTTTACCTGCTACTACCTCAACAATTTCTGGTCT